GCGGCAGTCATTCCTGGAACACCCCTCCCCAAGCTGTGCACGGCACCCTCAGCACTACCCAGAGTTGTTCCTTCTTAGCAGTTTAAAGCAAAGTGCCCTTGAGTGCTCAAATACTAACAACTGTAACAACTCTCAACAGCTTTGCCTTCAAATGAGCTTTAAAACATTTTTAGTGAATATTATGTTTAACAAAACCAGTTCCTATCTCTACTGTAGTCAACTTTTTAAAGATACGCTAACCGCACTTTGATTCTGACTTACCCTTGTGTAATTCTTCAGCAGTTACTGTGACTGTAGGTGGGTGGGAGGCCTATGATCGACTTCAATCCCACTCTACTGTATTAGACCAGGGTCTTCTCCCCTAAACTTCTCAACATTTCAGCTGGACTGGCAGGCCAACAGGCTCCAGCTCCCTGCCTCTCCAATGGCACAATTATATGCACACACTGCTGTAGACAGCTTTTTATGTGCATTAGGTGCTGGGTATCTGAATCCTCCTGGCTGCACAGCTTAGCCCTCCCTCTCCTAGTACTTTTATGGTTTCTTGACACAGGTTTCTCTGGGTAGCCCCGGTTGTCCTGGACTCCCTTTGAAGGCCAGGCTAGCCTTGAACTCAGAGAGATATCAGCCTGCCTCTGGCCCCCTCACACTGGGATTAAAGGTGTGCGTCACTTCACCCATCAATAAGGCCAGATCTTAACTTTCCTCAAAGATAATGCCCTTTCATATGAACTCAGACTTCAAGGGTGTCAAGATCCAAGAAGCTGAGTTTGTCTCAGCTAGGAATAAAGCTCAATGGTGTGCTTGCCCCAAATAAAATTCTCAGTATCAGCGTGGGGATTCAAATTAAACTAAACTAAACTAAACTAAACCCACAACCACTGAAATCTTGTCCTAGTATCTCCAGTGTTGGGAGCATAGGGAAATGCACCCCAAATCACTCACTACCCATAATGTGACTAGTCAGAGTGCAGTCAGAGGCAGGCGATTGAATAGCCTGAACATAGTGAACCCCTGTCACAGAAAAGCAAGAACTTAGGGTACATCTGTGTTAGTACTAGCCTCAAATGCACAAGGCCCTAAGGCGCAGTAACGCAAACTGACAGAAGTCATAAGACAGGCCAAACACATACTGAATTGATACATGTTGCATTTAACAAGTCTTTAAGAGCAACCTTAAGAGTTCTGGTGGTTCTTAATGTTCCCAATACCTATCGCACTACAACAAATAGCTAAAAGGAAAGAGCAGAAAGTCAAGGTTTCTCTAATATCAACTTTTTTTTCAATTTGGTAACTACTTGAGTGACAAAAAAAAAAAACAAAAACAAAAACAAACAAACAAAAAAAAAACAATTAAATGAACAAAAAACCAACCAACCAAAATCTTTTTTGGAAAGAGCGGCCGGCTATCTAGACTTATATTTGAAAAGGAGATGAGCTCTGTCATGAAAGCAGGAGGGAGTGCAGGAGAGGGGAGCATGGAGGGCAAATGGAATGTATCACAACGAAACCTGCTTCTCTATTAACCGAGGCATTTTTTAAGGCAAAGTTTCTGGTATCGCTCTGCTGATTCTAGCTGTAGCTTACCCACTGGTTACAGGTTTTCATCGAGTGACAGCAAATTCTTTTAAAATGTGTGTGCATTTATGTAGGTTAAGTACAAGAGCCCATGGAATGCTGCATCTTATGTGGCTGGAGTTACAGGTGGCTGTGAGTAGCCCCTAAGAGGCACTAGGTCTGCAAAAGCAGTTATACACTCTTGGCCAGGGAACCAACCCTTGAGCCTGCTCAGTTTTAAGAATTTCATATATTTTTGTTTGCAGCATTTGACTTAGGATGTCTGTTCTTCAGCTGCACTGCTCCTGTTTACTCAGCTCAAAGCCACTTGCTATTAAGTGTGTGCACCCCTCCCTGATTGTACACATGACCTAGGAGAGGGCCTATGCTGAGACAGAGACCACAGCGACCAACAGCTACAGAAGCTGACATTACTGCCTGCCTCAAGGAGGCGTTCCGGTGAAAAGGATCCACAGTGGGGACCTTAGGACCTTTCTGAGCAACGTCCAATGGGGTTCTCAGCCAAACTATCTATACTGGGCACAGCAACAAAGAGAAGACTTGAGGCTGGGAATAACTCACTGGGAGATGGCTTACCCAGCTATGAGTAAGGTGCTGGGGTCCACTCCAAGTACACAGGCCCTTGTGTCTTCTACGCTATCAGTATTTCCTAGCTACACAAATCTCCCCCAAAACATGATTCTTCCACTCCCACCCCCAAGTGCAATCATCTTAAGCACACACAAGAACCACAGGCATCCGAATATAAATTTGTGAAAATTTTCTTTACAAGAAGCATAGAAATTATAAAATTGTAAAATTTAAAAAACAAGTTTTCTTCAGCCAAAGAACGTAAACGATGAAGAAAAAGAACACAACAGGACAGTAAGGCTCTGCAGCCTTATAACCAGAGAAAGCACAAGCCAGGCAGGCCCTCCGGACAGGATTACTGAAAACACCATTCACAGCAACCTCATTGAGTTTTTTCTATTCTTAAAGGATTCAGCCAAAAACAAGTATTTTTAATGAGATTAAATAAATCCAAATAATTACATTATAAACGAGTTTATGAAATTCATCACCGCTTACCTCAGCCCTAGTGTCCTCTGCCCTGTAGCTCTCTGGGACCTGGCTAACAAGCACTCCTCTTTACAGCTCATTAAATGACAAATACTTCAACTATTTTGCGTTGAGTATAATCCTGGCACAGACTGTGTGGGACATAAGTGAGAACTTCATAGTGATTTAAACACAATTTATCATCATCTTGCTCACCCTGTGAGAAGCAAATTGGATAGTGGAAATACTGACCTAGAGGGGAAAAACAAAAAAACCTCTGCTCTAAACTGCTTACAACCTGTTTTTAGATTAGCAGAGCCATGAGTGACACTGTACAAACTTGACTTGGGAAAGAAATCAAGCTAGGTAAGTTCTGTTTTTAAATTTTAACAATTAAAAAATCAGAATACAGCATGTCATGCTTGTATTTTAAGTCTATTCAAAACAAAACATTAGAAATTTCAAAATATTCTCATCTTTTTTTTTTTTTACAAAGAAAATCTCTACAAAAGTTATTTATATTAAAGTTGCAGTGTTAGAATTGCAAAATGTCCTATACCAGGTCACAAGATTCTTCAACAATCAAAGAAAAATATGTACAAAATTTTCTCAATTGTTTTATCCTTTTAGGAAATAGAATAGAAAAATATCTTAAATTAAAACCTTACAAAGTAGAACTCTTAAAAAATCCTTCTAAATAATATAAGGTTTGAATTGTTCTTTATAAGTAAACTATACATAGTATCTCTGTAACATGAGGACTTGCTAGACATATCGTGTCAGGCTTTGCATTACAAATCCACATAAGCTAAAACCTGGCTTACCTTTACAACTTATAGATAGGGGATCATAAAAATAGAAAGATAAAGCTGTGACTAAACAGCCACTCGCTCACCAGACCATTTACACTACCTCACCACATTTACCACTTGAAATTCACTCAGTATTGTCCTACATCCCTTGTTAACCATGCATCATGAAAACAGTTCAGAACAAACAACAGAATCTGTTTTAAACGATGGCAAAAGCTACCTTTTAAAGAGAATTTGCATATTTAAATACTAGTGTGTCTAATTGTTGGGAGAAACCATGTCAGTCATTTCTCCTCACACCATGTGGCCCCTAGGGATGGACGCAGACCATTAGGCCTGTTGCCAAGCACCTTTCCCCCTGAGCACCTCAATGGCCCCGACTCTAATAACGTGGGGCCGAGAGAAAGAAGTTATCAGTTCTTCTTTCCTGTGGTCTGCTCTGACTCAGTCTCACTCTGCCACTGGACTCTTGGCAATCCTCTTGCTTCATCCTCCCAACTGCAGGGCTTAGGCAGAACACCAGCTTTATGTTTTCAATGAGTTAGACACATCTGAATATACATGAGGGTTAAGTATTATCCACTTTATTTTCTTATCTGAAATTCAGAATTAATGTGTAACCATATTAATGTATGAAAAGATTTATTAGAAAAATAAAGAACTTTAAAATTTTACAATATTTACTACTTCAAAATTTAGATAAAACAAATGTTACTTGTGGTTGAAACACAGAATCTGACTTAGAGATTCTCATTTAATCCCTGTAAGACAAAACACGTAGTAAAATGGTAGATCTTCACGAATATTAAGAAATCCAACACGAAAGTTCTACCCAAATGCCATGAGCCTCGGGTAGCTATGGCAGTGCTTGCTGCAAAGTAAATGAAACAATCTTCTTGGAAATTTAGCACCTTGCTGGCTACCAACATTAACACCACCACATTAAGTATAAATTGTGTGGTCTATATTACTGCTCAAAAATTTTATCAGCTACATAAGGAATGAACAAACATATTTTATAGAGCAGACACTAAATAACTCAGGCTTGTAGGCCTCTAAACTCTCACTACTCCATTATGCAGCTTCAGAGGGAAAAAAACAAATAACAGATATGAAAATGAATAACTGTGCCTATGAGCTACAGACTATCTGGTGCTCAAATAGACATGGATTTGGAAAAAGAAACACAATCCTAGGCCCACTACAAATATGTCATATATGGGCACAGATCAACTGAGCTGCTTAAGAAGAAACATTACATTTTACAAACTAAAATTTTACTTTCCAATCACATGTGAATGTGTGTATAAATATGTATGCATACAAGTTATAAAACTAGCATGTTTTACTTGGTATTGTTTTTGGTGTGCTAACAACAGTATCAAACCCAAGTCACATCAGTAGCAAAGGGACCATAACTGAGTACTCAGACACTAACCAATAACCAGCAATATTTTGATATCTAATTTTTTCTATAAACTGATAGTAACTAATTTGTTCTCTGTGCACCTAAAGAAAATGTTGGATGTGTATTTCAAGATGTCATCTTAAAATTAAATTGAATTGTTACAATTTGAAGCTAAGCGTGATTTGCTTTGTTTTATTAGAAAAAATACTCAAGCAAGGTCTACAATCATCGGTCAATTAAGAATGACTTACAAGAACATGAAACAGTAAAATAAAAATACAGGTACAAACTATATATCTGAAACACTCTATTTGGCAATGTTTTAACAAACCAAAAATTTAAAGGAACAAAGGAGATTGCAGAGTACTTCGCAGATATAGAATAAAACAAATGATGAAGTGCTTAAGCAAAAGAAAAAAAAATAGAACACACTGCTTTTCTTCTTTTGAAAATAGACTCTTGTTTGCTACAGAGCACATTAGACGGCCTTTCCAGAGCATCCTCACCGGCAGTGCATCCCCTCTTATCCCTCAGGGTCAATGACTCATTTCTTTACCCCCTTGAAGCCTCCCATACTTTTAGTACCTTTTGTGCATGTGGTGTTTCTTTTTTAAGCAAATTAAATTATCTATGCATTATGGAACCTCTCCCATTTAGGAACCAAGGCTTAATTTTATATTTGTCTATTCTTTTAAAAATTTAGTGTAAAAACTGCTGGTTTTCCTGTCACTGTAGGAAGTAGGAACTCCAAGTGAGGAGTGCTTTCTGCAGTCTGACTGCACAGCACATGCTTTCCAGTAGGTGCTCCCAACAGTAAGGAACAAGTACACAGCCACTGTCAGAGGGGAGTGCCATAAACCTTCATTATGGGTCTAGGCCCTCCCTCAAAGACTTTCTGGAAGGATGTCCAATGCTTTGTTCTTAGACTTAACAGTAGTACACAGTCCTTCAGTCTGCAAAGACATCTCTCATTAAAGGTGCTTTGTTAGCAATCCCTCTGGCAGCACTAGTGAGTTACAATTTCCTTCAATATTATTTCTACATAATATATACATTGACTTTCATGCTGCTAGAAAACATCTACAGTACATTTCATAATAGAAAAATATATTACAAATCTGCTCAATTATTTACAAGCAACGCTCTATTATCTCTATGCAACATTTGTTTGATACAGTACTGACAAGTTACACATATTTCCATTTCTGTAAAAGTTTAAAAAATTCCATATGGCTTCTTGCCTGCCAAGCAAGAAAGTGATTTTATTTTCCTTTTCAAAACCAACTTTGGTGCATAAAAGATTCAGTTTGAAGATACTTTAAAAAAAATACAATTTTTTTTTTACATTAAAAAAACTCAAAAACTAACGCTTTCCTCAGGAAAAAAAAAATTAAGAATCAGGTTAAATGAAAACATGAAATTTTACAAAAAATGTGAAATTGAGGTTTTTTTCAAAAACCATTGACAAGAGTAGTTATGTAGGTAAATATTAACACACTGTACCCCAAGAGAAACCCTAGTGCTGAAAAGGGAGCCACCAGACATACGGCAACACTCTTTAACAGTAATTCTCAGACCTAATTTGATAGACGAATTTTTAGTTGATTGCAAATGTCGTTCACTGTTTGCTTAAATACAAATTGAACATTTTTCTTATCAGAGTTCTGCAAAAGAACACAAATGGCAACCAATCACATCTATTTATCATAACTGAAAGGTTAATTATCTTTTGATAATTTCCACTGTCTAAATATTTTCTACTAGGACTTCAAATCAATACACACTGTCAAGATGGATCTTACAGTGCTTTTGGTGCTTTTAAGGGCAATTGTTTATCTTTCCAGTAAAACTACTATACTCACTAGGGCGAAGAAAAAAAGCAGCTTAAGCAGTGAGCATGCAAAGCCTTTCAGAAGCTGTTCAACTGAGTTGCCAGAGAGTGTCTGCGCAGTCTCCCACAGCGCCATTCCATGACTTGTGGACTACAGTAATATATTAATATATTCCACAGAAGACCTACTTCATTCACAGAATGTCCACGCTAAGCATAAATACTACTCTAAATACTGGACTTAAAAATAAAAGAGGAAGGGGTTGACTCTAATGTGCAACTTTCCCTAAGCCCATTGTCAGTGACTAAGACTGCAGGTGTCCCCGCTTGTTTGCTTTATGTATTTATGTATGTTTTACCTCTTCAACCTCTTCTGTGGCATTGTTCTAGAAAAAGAAAAAGAAAAATTCTTTATTCAGTTGAATCAAACACAAAGTACTTCAAAAGAAACACTAAAAATACTTGTAGAATTGAACATAGTGATGGTGACAGGCCACCACTAACATATCTGCAAGTGCTGGCACGTGTCTTCAGGCCCAACTACTCACGACGGAGGCAGTGGGATTCTTGAGCCTGGGAGTTCAAGGACAGGTGGGACAACACAGGAAAAAAAAACAAAACCCTATCTCAGGAAACTTCATGTATATTGAAGGGAAAAGTAATTATTCCTAAAACATTAAAATTTGCATAACTTTTAATAAAAAAATCTCTGTAGCCTATATTAAGAGTTCCATATCTAACATGCATTTTTAAGTACTATTTTTAAATTTCAAGTAAGTGTTCTTTGTAGTCCCATTTGCAAGTAAATTACATTTTCTAGTGGAACAGTCATACTTTCATTTGACATATTAGCAAGAAATCATTCTGCAAAAACACAAGTGGAAATAATTGTTTTCCCAGTCAAGATCCAGACACTTAAACCCTAATCTCACACTAAGAAAACATCAAGCCTTTATGACTATACATTATTAAGTACCCTCAGTTCCAACTTCCAGAAGAGAAGCACTGAAGACAAAATTTAGCTTTAAGGTTTTGGGAGTTATTTCATTCTGGCTGACTGTTTTAGCATAGTATAGTTAATATACAAACCAGATGTGATGAGGCAGTCCTATAAGCCAAGCATTCAGGAGATTGAGGCAGGAGGAGGTGGCATTCCAGGACAGCCTGGGCTACAGAAAAGCACCCAGTGCCTTAAGAACATAGTCATTTCCCCAGAAGAAACTTTCAGTAAAAAACAAAGAATCAGGCTGGAGAGATGGCTCAGTGGTTAAGTGCACTGTCTGCTCTTGAAAGGACCTGGGTTCAATTCCCAGCACCCACATGGCAGCTCACAAGTGTCTGTAACCCCAATTCCAGGGGATCTGACAACATCACACTAAGGGACATAAAATAAATTTAAAAAAAGGAAAAAAAGCAAAAGAATCGTTATCTTGAACAGCCAACCTCATTTATATCAGTACTTCTGAGCATGAATTCTGAGCATGAAGAATATTTTAAATCGCTTTCACTGACATAAGTAAATTGCTTTCTGCAAAGCGCAAGAGCACAAAAATAAGTTGATGTGTGCAAAAGAAAGGGAGAAAGAAAGAATGGAGAACAGGAGCAAGGATACTCATTCCAACTGTCCATTCTGAAGCTCCTAAATTGCAACCAGTTCTAAAGCTGACTAGCTCTCCAAGAATGGCCCTTTCCTAGAGTACCAATTTCAATTACCTCTCCAGAGTAAGCAGAATCAAATCTAAATTAGTACCAGCAAATAAATACCCAACCATCTTTCTTTTAAAGTACAGTTTTCCCATTTTCTTGTATCATTTTCTCAATCTTCTGCCCTTTATAATCTATCCCATCTTTCAAAGAATAAGTCTCATTGCATGTAGCACCTTCCACAAAAGCTATTTTATTTAAAAAGTGGAGAGAGTAGGGAAAGCTCAAGAGTCTCAATGTTCCCTCATGACAAGACACATGAATGTTTGAACTCTCTCAGAACATGTCTCACTAAGAACCTGATACACTGAATGGCATTTCAGACAGCTAAGTCACAAAGGAACGGGGCCTTTTCAAGTGTTCAGCTACTACCAAGTAACCTCATTTTATGGACAGGGATATAAATTAGCTGGTAGAGCGCCTGACTGGCATGAGCTCAAGTTTGATTAGCACTATTCCACCCTACCCCACTCCAAATTAGCTAACTTTATGATAGTTAAAAGATGCAGTAAAGGATTTATGAATTATCATCTTACCCCTGGACAGTCCATTCTCATGAGAAATACAGTAAATTATAGCTTTAATTTAAAATCATAAAGTTGAGTGTCTTCTTAATCACTGGTTTAATTACCAGAGTAGCCTGCTATTTGGCTCCAGCAGCATGGAAGTTAAGCTCATACGGTGTGGCCCTACTACAGCTACAATCTATGCACAGTGACTCAGGAGAAGCTACTACGATGTGTATCACCTAAGGAACACTCCTGGGCACTCCTCTTCCTAACACCACAGAACAGTCAGACTTGGAAGCACTTAACAACCACACTGCTACACTGTACTTCTGCAAAGTTTGGGGAGAAAGTAAGTGAAGAACATGGTTTTTAGGATATCTTTCTTCAGTCTCACAAAAGTCTGATTAAATACAAAAAACCACATTTATTTAAATGAAGACTTACTTTTTTATTAATGTGTATGTATGTATATCTAAGTGAGTGAATATCACATGCTGTGGTGCCCATGAAGTCAGGGTTTCAGATCTAGAACTTTAAGTCACAAAGTTGACTTGGATGCTTACAATGGACCCCATTCCTCTGCAGAGGCGCTCTCTTTTTCTGAGTCATTTTTCCAGCCCCAGAATCATGCAAAATACTAGTGTGTTATAATCTAAACAAGCACACACACCTTATCAAAATATTGTTTCTGGATTCTATAATTCTTAGACCTTTGTAATATCACCTCCCTATTTGAAAGAAAAAAGGAACAGAAATGCCATGTGTTATAATGACCCAAACATGGGTGGTGAGGCAGCACTGGCTACACAACATGTGTGAGTAGCATAGGCTACATAAAACCTGGTTCCTCCATAGACCCTGCCCGGTCCCCCAAAAAACTAAAGTCTACTAGACAGAGAAATTGAGCATAAGTTGCTTGTCCCAAGTTTAGAACTCTACACTCTGAAGCCTTTTGAGCACCAATATGGTTTTGAATATTCTGATGAGGGATGTTCACCTAGTCATGTTTAGGCAAAAACAAAACAAAAATTCAGATTTTTGGATAAGGAATATTCAATCTCTACAGAAAAAAATAAATCCCAATATATCCAAAATTTAGAAAAGTTCAAGATGACAATTGAAACAAAAAACAAAACAAAACAAAAAGCACTCTGTCATGAAGTGTATTACCTGTATATGTTTGGGTCCAACAGCAAGGCAGTATCTTTGGGTAGCTTTGATAAATGAACTACTTTAGTTTTTAACTGATGTCGTTCATTTTCATTCACCCATACATCTGGCAGACTATGGATTAAAAAAGAAAAGCCAATAATTTACAATTATCCTAGACTTTTCATTCCTGTCTTCACTCTCCAGCCTTTTCCACAGCTCTGACAGGGGCACCTGTGTGCTTCTGCAAAGACACAGACAGCAGCACACATTCAATGAGTAGCATTTGGAGTGTGGGGTGGACGAGGAATTTGTATAGCTCGGCTTTTAACTAAATGAAATCAATGAAAATCTGTTTGGTTTTTTGCTAACAAAGGAAAACACCATCAATCCATGAGAGCTCAGTATGTAGCTTAGTACAGCAAATACCAACAGTGCCAAGGACAGGTCTCTCCTGAGACTGAGCCCATATAAAGATAAATGCATCTATGTGACCAAAATATGAATTTGAAGGTATTTAACCCTAAAAAAACATTCAAAGTACTTTGATATCTGCACGTAGGATTAGAAAGTCTTTTAAATTTGATATTTTAATAAAGATTTAAGTAAGGCATGGCAGTACATGGTGATTACATGTCTGTAATTCCACCACTCAGAAAGTTTGAGGCAGGAAGACCGTGAGTTCAGACAGTGGGTCACATGAAGAGACCAAAAGCTTTCTAATTCAACTTACAACAGAGACAGTTATGTTGGCTTAATACCCTGGCCAAGCAACTGTGCCTAGAGGGGTCTGAGGCTCCAAAGTAGAGCCTGCTGCTCCCATTTACTGAAGGAACGGCTATCAAGGTGCCCTCTAACATTACACACGTTGAGTGGTACTCCTCCTCCATGCCCTCATCAGAAGCTTCCTAACACAGTGGGGACAATTAAGTAAACACTCTTAGAATGCTCAGTTGCCAATTCAACAACCTTAATGCACATTTCTCTTAAGATTTCTATTTACTAAGTTAATTTTCCTTTTTCTTTTTCTTTCTTTCTTCTTTCCTTCTTTCCTTCCTTCCTTCCTTCCTTCCTTCCTTCCTTCCTTCCTTCCTTCTTTCTTTCTTCTTTCTTTCTTTCTTTCTTTCTTTCTTTCTTTCTTTCTTTCTTTCTTTTTCGGGGCCTGGTTTCTCAGTGTAGCCTAGGCTGTCCTGGACTCCTCTGTACACCAGGCTGGCCTTGAACTCATAGAGGTCCGTCTGCCTCTGCCTCCCTGAGTGTTGAGACTGAAGGCGTGCACCACTTATGTTATAGGAGTGTGTCATCTGCATGCACACCTGCACACAGGAGAGGCATCACATCCTAGTGTAGATGACTGTGAGCCACCATCAAAGTCAGGACCTCTGAAAGAACAGACAGTGCTCTTAACTGGTGAGCCATCTCTCCAGGTACAAGTTAGATAACTTTTACACTCAAGATTTTAATAAAAAGAACACAGAGATGGTAGTGGTGGCACATGCCTTTCATCCTAGAACTCGGGAAGTAGAAACAGGCAGATTTCTAAGTTTGAGGCCAGCCTGATCTACAGAATAAATAACAGGAAAGCCCTGCCTCAACAAATCAAAACTAAATAAATAAGGGACGGGTTTCTTTCTTATACATAGTATTTCTTAAAATACTTACATGTCTTCAGGCATCCAATGAAGCAAAAGCTTTATCTTTCCAGATTCCTCCTTTCTTTTAGCTATTACCTAGTAACAGTACAAAAAGAAATGGTTAAAAAGAAAAATCCAACTATTTATAAAACACCATTTTTCTATACTGCTAAGAACATAAAGTGGCCATGCCCACCAGGAAAGGCACTGCCACCACAAAATCTTATCCTTCTTGCTTTGCACATGCCAATCTTCCCACAACACTGAAACTGCAAAGGTGCCCCACACTATCATTTAAAAGTAAGCCCCCATATATATTAATAATTTTAAAAAACAAACAAGTCTTCCTTTAAACAAACTTCTTAAAAAACACTAAAGCAAAAAATGAGTGTCAAGACGGCAGTTATGAGCACTTTCTTCAAGGGCTGGTCTGACCCTTGGTCTATATTATTTGGGAGGAGAACCTACTCCCAAGTGTCCTCTGATCTCTACATGGATGGACGATGGGAGAACAGAGAATAAATAAAGCCAGAAACTGGGCTTGGTGGCACACACCTAATATCCCAGGCAAGAGGGCCAAGGAGTTTAAGGCTATCCTTGGCTACCTGGCCAATTCCCAACTAATCCTGGAGCCCCAAAATCGATGCAAAGAGAAAGACCTACTTTACAACTAACATATCTGTTTACTTGGGTTTCTACTGCTGTGCACAGTGGGCCAACCCATCTTTAGGTCTAACACTGAGTAAGCCACCATTAGATATTGTACCAAGCCACTGCCGTGTTAGCAGTAAAAACAAGGTGACACTTGGTATTGTACAGCTCTCCAACGCTCACACTGACATGGAGACATTGGTTCTAGTTTATGTCATTGCAATCTCAATACCGTATTACCAAGTTCAAGTTACAAATACCCAAATATATACTGCAATATTATTCTGAAACCATACCACAACTAAAAATAGAACTTTAAATACAAAGATTACTTCCTCCATTATATGAAAGCATATAGTTGAATAAATGCCTTAATTTTAGGCTTGGCAAGTAATGGAAAAATCCAAAAGTAGATCTAATGATACAACTGCAGAACCCTACAAATGCTGGTACAACTCAAGCCAACCAAGCACAGTAACACAGCTGGAAACTATGGTCCTGCCCCTCTTCTAGAGAAAACTTCAATTAAGGCATGCATTAGCAAGTGTTTCATGACTACTGAGGTTATTTCCTACAACAGGGACTAAGAGGGACACTTCCATTTACAGTTTGTCTTAAGCATTTCTACCATTTTTGCAGAGAATATGCTGTCTACCTACAATCCCAGAGCTCAAGAGGCTGAGGCAGGAATATGAAGGCAGCTTGTGTAGACTGTCTCAAACATTTTTTTTTTTTTAATTACTTAGAGGTTGATTCTACTTAGTATACACTGGTGTTCATCAATGTCAAACCTTGAGAACTTGCTCACCTGGCTGATTTCCTCTCTAAGTCATTGGAAATGCCCTGTCCTTCACTTGGCTTCCCCAGACAAGGTTCCTCAGCTTATTCTCAGTCCATCCTTTTCTCAGTCTAAGAACTTATGCTCATGAACTTATAAGTTCATATTACTCATTCCTCAATTACTAAGCATACAACATACAAGTTTGTCCTAACTCTTCCTGGATTTTCAACCTTATTTTGTTCCCTTCTTTTAGAGTAGGAGGTTCTCTTTTTTCTATAGTGAGCTTAAGTGTTTCCTCATCAAAATAATAAGAATATTTAATTGGGGGTATTCAGACACACAGTACATAGAAAAAAAAAACAATGAAACAATTACAAAGAATAACTGGGGCACATGTGTTCAACACACACACGTTCAATAAGGTCTCTTCCTCAACTGCTTATCATCTTGTTTTAAAATAAAATTTTTGGGCGAGTGAAGCACACATTTAATATCTGCACTACGGAGGCAGAGTCAAATCGATCTGTGAGCACCAGGCCAGCCAGGTTTAACGTGAAATAGACTCAAAACTTATCTTAAACGTGGTTTGGCTGTTTGGCTGTCAGACTCAACAGTAAGCACTTTCATCCACTAACCCATCTTGCCAGCCTTCCACTTTAGTTCGGTTGTTGTTGTTTGCTTTTTGTAACATTTTTTATTAAGACACCGATTCTCACTTAGCCAGGAACTCATTGATGGGCTAGACTGGCCATTCAGTGAGCTCCAGGGATCCCCCCGTTGAACTCCCCTGCACCAGAGTCACAGATATAGTGGAGACCACAGAAAACAAAGTTATAAATCTACATGAGAAAGAAAAAAGCAACAAAACAAAACCCAGCAGGTTCTATAAAATGAGCACAGAAGCAGGTTCGGAAAACTGGGGGGGTGACAGTGTGTTCTGGGGATGGTGTTGCTGATGAGTAAGTACTTACATCAGTCAGTGACTACTCAAACGTCACTGACTTGCCAAGGTCTGGGGTAAACTTTCCCACCTGCCTCTCTCATGTGCACTTCATTTACACTCACCACCTTCCTTTTTTCAAGCATAGCTGAACCCAAAATACTATGAATACTATGGACATCTCAGAGTGCTTTCCTTAACCTCCACTCTAGCTACGATATTCATCCCTCAAAAATTAAATGAAAGAAACCTCATTATAGGAGATGACAACCTATGATCAATGCCAACAATTAATACTTCAAACATCCATTTTGTTGCGAGAATAAATATAAAAGTAGCCCAATTCTACTATATTTCATATATCAAGACAAAAACTGGGCTACAAGAAATGGTATCTGCTAAAAGCACTTGCCCATAAGCCTAGAGATCTGCATTTCTATAATCTCTACAAACCATAAAGGTGGAGAGAAGAACAGACCCTAAACTTGTCCTCTGAACTTCTCACCTGCATCACAGTATGTATACCCACACAATATCATGACTATGCAACAATCACTTTCATTTCTCACATGGTGGTAATGGCCTACACCTTTAATCCCAGTACTCGGGAGGCAGAAGCAGGTGGATATCTATAGGTTCAAGGCCAGCCTGGTCTCTATCAAGAAAGAGAAACATGACCACAACCCCACAACCCGTGTGTGTGTGTGTCTGTGCACGCACACTTGAGACCATAAGAGGGCATTGACTCTCATGGAGTTGGGAATCACAGGTGACTGTGAGCCACCTATTATGGTGCCAGGAACTCAACAAGGGCAGCAAGCACTCTTAAACCACTGAGCCATCTCTTCAGCACCAACAATAATTTTACAAGCCAAAATTATACATTCACTTTTTTAAAAATCCAAAATGCCAGAATTCTTACCTAAAGTAAGACTACACCACTACACCAATTTAAAAATAATAGAACAAGGCTAGAGAGATAGCAATTCAAGTTATATATCTCCAGTTTCAGGGAATCTGATCTCCTCAGATACCAGACACATATGGTGCACAGATGTACATGCAGGTACATGCATACACATAAGTAATGTTTAAAAAAAACGAATAGACAATAAAATTAGTTCCGTGCTAGCCAACCACACTGATCTTACTGCTCTGTGTTTCCAAACTGACATTCTGATTGTTCTGGGTTGGAAACCCAGCCTCAAGAAGCAGCAACCCTCTACACTGTGCTGGCTGGCCACAATTCTAGAAAGCTGGAGTTATACCTGTGGAGTTACACCTTTTTTAAGGTTTTGTTGTTGTTTGGTTTTGCTTTTGGAACTATTGGCTGGAGAGTGAACCTAGGGCCTCAGATATGCTAGGAAAGTATTCTACCACTGGGCTACATCCCTATTCATTTCCAGCAACTAGTTGCCCAGACTGACCTTACCCTTACTTTCAGCCAGGCAGGCCTTGAACTTCTGCTTCAGCCTGCAACACTGAGGTTACAAACATGTACTTCCACATTCAACAATAAAATAGCGAAAAACAATGTATACTTTTTTTTGCGAGTCTATATAATTTGAAAGAAAAACAGAATACTTACAGTACTATGAAAAACAACACTGTGTCCCTTCCCTAAACTTTCTATATGAGCGGAGAGGTTAAAGCATATGGCTCGATGTCTTATGGCATCCAGTGTTTGTGCATCGAAGAAATCATGTGGTCGCGCTGAAAGTCAACACAAAAAAGTTAGACAGTTCAGAAACTTCTACAGTCTACTAAATGCTCAGGTGTTTTCCAAATACTAGAGATCTCAGCTTTAACTGACAGGGAACTAGCAAGTCCCTGCCCAGCACCTAGCTGCATGTGTCTGTGTTCAGTCAGAACAATGATAAGGTGAGAACAGGCAGAATTCCAATTATAATAAATGCATCAATTCCATTATCCCCTGCTTCTTAGCCTCAAACTCGACCATCTTTATTTTTCATAAAAATTCTCAAAACCAACTGAGATTTTCTACAATGACCATCTCCATCTGTGCAACAAGGAGGTTTCAAACTTACACTGTGATTTCATGAGCATTCTATTTTTCACATGATATCAAAATCTTTCAAAATCTGTGACAAAGAGGAAATATTACTTCCAAGCTTTCAACAGGTATTTTCTTGATCACAAACAAATGCCCGAAGAAGAAGGTAAGAAAACGGCACATAACTAAACCCTAGGGCTTGAAGACAGAGCCTCCCATGTCAGACAAGCACTCTATCCTATCAATACAATTCTAAATGGTAACTAGTTCACCATTAAAGTCTCAACCAGGTCTCAACTGCATACTGTGCACATGGCTTAACCTTCATTAGATTGCTTCTTTCTTTTCTTTTTTTTTTTTTTTTTAATTATTTCTGAGATAGTCTCGTCGTATAGCCCAGGCAAGCCTCAAAGTCACAACAATCTCTTTTTTAATATATCAAAATAAAGCCATTTTTAAGGTAGGTTCAACAATATACATTAAGCTCTTGGGAAGAATGAGCACGGGGTTAGTTCAGGGCCATCACAGGCAATGTACCAAGATCCAGTCTCCAAAAACACAGAAGGGATCCCCAAGCAGTATCTAAGCATTGTTGGGACTAGGGTAAGACAATCCTGATTTCTAATCCAGCCTTGACACTGGAGATGAGAATAAGAAAGCTAGGCTACATTTATGACAAAGTGGCTGCTTCAGTATCCACAGATGGATGTTTTAGAAGGAAAAACAAGTCAAACCACAGCACTATCTGCTTGAATAATAGTGCCCAAAAGAGAAAGCAAGGCTTTGTATGTTCTACACTTCAGAGTTAACACTCAACCTCTTCAAACAAACAAACAAAAGCAAAAGCCCTCAATGTAGGTAAAAGTGCTTCCTTCCATGCACACCTGTCACTAGCACTCGCCCAGCAGCTGACCGTAACAGAAACTGCAGGTCAGAGCATTATCTACGTAAGTAGTGCATATGCCAATTCTAAGGGCCAACTAGGTACTGAAGTACACCCACCTATGCTTTCTAAATACAATGAGTGGGGAGGAAGGGATCAGAAGATCAAGAGTTTGAGGCCAGCCTGAGGTAGGTGAGAGAGCAAAGCAAAGAGGGGTCCTGTGCTGGTGACACACACCTGCAATCCCAACAGTGGGGGAGCGAAGGTCCAGGAATCCTGGTTTACACAGTGAAACCTGATCGCAAAATTGAGCAGCAAATTGTGCAAGCATTGCTAAATAATGGGGCAGTGAAAAAAGATTTAAATGGCAATACAGTGTGAAATGAGAGGGCGAGCACCCCTGCGTTTTGAGTACAAGATTAAGCAGCTTTCTTTTTTTCTGCTTTACATTTATGGGGGGTGATGGGAGAGAACACAGGCCGGTGCTTGTTAATTCTCTCCTTCTACCAGGTGGGCTCCAGAGATCAAACTTAGACCAGAGTGATGCCAGGATACCTGGGTGCCTCTAGATTACTAGCCTTACTTCCCTCAGTGATACTGTGTTGTGGAACTATAAGCTGAAATATAAACTCCTCCCTGAGTCACTTATGGCTGTGGTATTCAGAACCAGCTTCCACAGCATGTAAAGATATTTTTACTTTAACAGTAGAAAAGTATATATTTATTCCCTTTGTGATCAATTTATTTGTTCACTGTAGCTTTGTGGTGAGACTTGCATCTGCCTTTTCTTCTATACCCTAATCAAACCCAGAGTGAGGAGAATCCATTTACTAACTCTTTCACTCCTGCAGAACTCCCTTTCACAACAGCACTTCTTCATTCCTTCCCTCAATCACCCACTGCACGACACTCACATGTCTTCACTCCAGACTTATTGGCCAGTGGACTCAAAGAATCAAGAATGGTACCCTGCAGGCTCTAGTTAAGGTTGATTCCTACTCCCAACACTTGTAAGCCTATCATCTATTATTTTAATCCTAAATATTAAAGGAGTGTCCTACACAGAACCCAGTAATTAAAAGTACAATCTTCATGTTCATGCTGTAAATACACAGTTCACACACATCCTGGTTGATGGGTTATTTAACTTATTTGATTTTTATTTGACATGCTCATGATTTTCTAAAGCATTTGTAGAAACACAAACTAATTTATAACAAATCAGATACCACCTCTTATCTAATTCTCTGAATATAGTTTATATTCTAAAATCACATACACTTAATACTCCCTTAACTTCTACAAATATTTCTCACTAGATTCTCACACTTCCCATACAGTCAATTCAACCTCAGACCAGTGAAAACTGGACTTGCTTATTATTAAGCCCTAGATTCACTAGAGACCTTCTAGATAAGCACTTACGCAATGAGCGCCGTCGTTTGTTCTTTAGTTTCCTCCGCTTGTTCATTCCAGCTTTAGAAGGAGATTCTTCTTTGGCCTTTGGCTGGCTAGAAACTTTTGAGGAATTCTGCTGACTGAAGTGTGTAGGTACATGGCGAGCTAGCCCTCCCTGAGAAGCAAAGCTGGCATTGCAGCCACCAACTACACACTAAAAAGAAGAAAAAAGGGCTGTCAGCTTACTGCATGAGGCATGAGAACTGAAGGCAGTAAATATCCATACAACCGATTCTACAAAATATACATGAAGCACTTCTTGAGTTCACTTCAAAACGCAACTAAGTTATCTGACAAGTGTATCATCTGGCAGTGGCATAGCCAGATGTTTCCAAACTTAAATTTGCTGCTCCTTCCACCACACCAAAGCAAAACATATGGGATCACCTTCCTGGAAGAGATGTTTTGTTTTGTTTTTTTAATAAACCAGGTTTACGAGGATAGTAAACTGATGTACTAATGGCTGCACCAATTCCGAGATTTTGCTAACAATATTAAGACATAACTCTCCCTATAGAGCCTGGCTGACCTGGAACTTACTACTTTATTTAGACTAAGCTGGCTTCAAACTCAGAGAACCTCCTGCTTCTCTTTCCAGAGTATTAGGATTAAAGCCATGAAACACAGTCTAAAGATATTAGTTGACACAAAATCTTCAGATGCTTTTTTTCTATATTGCCACAACAAGTAGGGGGAAAAAAAAAAAACTAAGTTTGAAGATCTTTCTTATGTATTTGTTAGACTTGTAGATGTAATCTATTAGGTCATTCTCACAAATTCAGTCTACTTACTTTTTGTCTCGGGAAATAAATTACACATATGTAATTGGTAAAGCTCAACACCAAACATCAAAATACCACCCTCAGGGCTCCAAGTTCTTCTAGCCAAAATATTACCAATCAATCCTAACTTCTTCGAAAAAAATCTGAAACAGTCAACACAACCTACTTTCAGGGAAAATCCCAAGTGTCTTCACCTGGGGCTCTTACACCTTCACTATGCAAACACACCACACTTCACACTTTCAATGCATCTTGGAATTATAAACACCCTTATGCATATTTTTGCCCAGAACATCTTGTTAATCACAGACATGTCTATGTTTAGTAGTGGAAATCAACCACATGGTGACTCACAACCACCTATACTGGAACTTGATGGCCTCTTCTGGCATGCAGGCATACATGAAGATAAAACACTCATACATAAAATAAAATCTTTTTAAAAAATATATTGAAAAAGGAAAAGAGCCCAAACATTCAACAACCTTTTTATATAATGCTAATAAAATTAGCACCTAGTGGGACTGGAGAGATGGCTCAGTAGTTAAGAGCACTGGCTATTCTTCCAGAGGACTTGGGTTCAATTCCTAGCACCTACATGGCAGCTCACAACTGCCTGTAACTCTCAGGGTATATGACACCCTCACACAGACATAAATTCAGGCAGAACAGAAATGTACATAAAATAATAATAACAAATTATTTTAAAAAATAGCACCTCGTAGTATTATTAAGACTCTACAGTCACTTTATCAGCGCTCAATAATTTAGAAGAATGACTAAAGATTTCAGTGTTTACACTTGCCAGTGTGCACTACCATAAAAGGTACAAGAACAGGAATAAGCAAGACCAACTTCCTGCCCAGAAGAGGTACACACAGAAAAACTAGTAACTTCAACAATAGAGCTAAATCCAGGTTATTATAACTCAGAAGAGGAGCATAAATCTATTCTTTGTAATACATAATTCATTGTAATGTGCTGGGTGTGTAGGTCAGTGATAGATCCAAACACAAAAGCCTTAAGTTCTATCCTTAATATTGCAAAAAGAAACAAACAGTAGAAACACTTAATTCATTTAATTTTTTAATTAATTTAATTTTATCAATGGGGTTACTATCAAATGGCTTTCATTAAATGCAACCAGCTAATAAAACCACATACAAGTAAAAAAAAAGGATAGCCTGGAGGCTGGAGAGCTGGCTCACTGGTTAAGAGCGTTAACTGCTCTTTTAGAGGCCCCAGGTTCAATTCACCGCATCCATACAGCAGCTCAAAATGTAACTCCTATTCCAAGGGATCTGACACCCTCACACAGACTTGCACAGTCAAAACACAAATGCACATAAAATCAAAATATATATATATATATATATATATATATATATATATATATTTTTTTTTTTTTTTTTTTTTTTTTAAAGAAAAAGGCTGGGTATAGTGACACATGCTTGTTAATCCCAGCAGGGCAGAGGCAGAGGCAGGTTCATTTGAGGCCAGCCTGGTCTACAAAATCGAATCCAAGACAGCCAAGGCTACACAGAGAAGCCCTGTCTCGAAAAACAAACAAAGTTGCTCTTGAGCTAGAGAGATGGCTAGAGTTAAGTGCACTGGCTTGTTCTTCCAAAGGTCCTGGGTTCCGTTCCTGGCAATCACATGGTAGCTCACAAATATCTATAAGATCTGGTATGCTCTTCTGGTGTTCAGGCATACATGCAGGCACTGTAGCATAATAAATAAACCTTAAAAAAGAGAAAAAGGATAGCCTGGAGCTGCAAAGATGATTAAGCAGTTAAAAGCACTTGCTGCTCTTCGAGAGAACCCAGGTTCAATTCCAGACACCCATATAGCGCTCTAAAACGGTCTGAAACTCCAATCAGAAAATAAATCTGACACCCTCACACAGATGCACATACAGACAAAACACCAACGCCATAAAATAAAAATAAATTATATATATATATAAAGATATTCCATTAGCAATGATGTTAGCAAAGCAGGGCATTTGCTTGCAGAAGAATGAAATTAGATCATGTCTTCGTCTGCACAGAAACCAATCCAAAATTTCAAAAGACCTTCATTGACAACCTGATATGTGAAGCTGCTAGGAGAAACACTCCAAAATAAGCACAGGGGCTAGGAGGATGTCTCAGTGGGGCAAGTGCTGACCTCACTCAGTTTGGATCTCCAGCTTGTCCATACTTTAGCCTGGCACAGTAGCATACATCTATAATCTGTAATCCTAGCATCAAAGCGGCAGACAGGTGGATCGCCGAGGCTCATTGGCAGATTAGCCAAATTGGTGAGATTGGGTTCAATGAGAGGCCCTAGGCAGAAGTAGGAACATAGCTCAGTAGTAGAGTGCTTACACAGCACACACAAGGCCTTGGTTCAGGCTCACCAGCAACTACAGAGTTTTGAAGCACAATGGAGCTGTGAGACACTATCTTACGTCTGGCCTAGACATGAGCAGATATGCCTCTCATCCACACACATGATATAGGCATAGGCATTTTTTTTTTTTTAACAATACTCTACTAACACAGGAAATAAGCCCAAGAATTACAGAAAATTGAAAAGCTTCATTCAGCAGAGCAACTGCAAACTTAAACACAAAAACAAAACAACAACAACAAAAAAAAACTGGCAATCAGGAAAATGAGATCATGAACCATATCCTCCATAAATGCCCCCTCAACCCCACACACATACAGACATGGGTTATATACACATAAAATTTCATGTGGAGAGATGATGGCTCAATGGGTAAGAACACTGGCTGCTCTTGCAAGTGAGCAAGACCTAAGGAGGGACCAGGAAAAGGGAACTTGATAGAGTATGTGCTAGGTACATGTCTAAATATCAAGCTGAACCCATTTAACATGGAGAATGTATTAGAATATTGAAAATACCAATTTCTGGGGCTGGTGAGATGGCTCAGTGGTAAAAAGCACTGGCTGCTCTTCCAGAGGACCCGAGCTCAATTCCCAGCACCCACATGGCAGCTCACAAATGTCTGTATCTCCTGCCTCAGAGGATTAGACCACCTAACACATGGAGGCAAAACACCGATGTAAATAAAAATTAAAAATATTTATTTAAAAAAAGAAAATACAAATTTCTACAACAGCAAAACTTCAAGCTATACACTATAATATACTCCTAACACCTTTAAAAACAGCTCTTGCATATCTCCAGTGGGAGCTGGGCATGGTGTTGCATGTCTTTAAATTCCAGCCCTTGGGAGGCAGAAGCAAGCAGATCTCTGAGTTCAAGGACAGCCTGGTCTACAATGCAGGTTTCAGGCCAGCCAGTTAAATGGTGAGACCCTGTTTCAAAAAGAAATAAACATTTTCCCCAATCAAAACCAAGAGACATAAGATACGAATAGGATAAACTTGTTATAGTGTATCTATTAGAACTCTGCATTTAACCAGGTGTGGTGGTACACACCTATACCAGCACTCAGGGAGGCAAAGGCAGGTGAATATCTCTGAGGTAGAAGCCAGGCTAGTCTACAAAGCGAGTCCTGGACAGCCAAGGCTACACAGAGAAGCCTTGTATGAGAAAAAAATAAAAAAGAACTCTACATTTAGAACAGTTTAGCAGACACACATAATACAGTTCACACTAAATTTTCTGTAAGAACAGCCTGTTATTGAAACTCAGGTTGAGGCAGGGATTTAAGAGCAGCTTAGACATATTGGGAGTTTCAGGTCAGCGAGCTACAGAGCAAGACCCTCTCACACAAAGCAGGGTTGAGGGGAGGGACTGCATTTATCTATCGTTCCATTAAAAAGACTTTTTCCATTAAAAAGACTTTTTAGAAATTAATGAAGCAATACTAGCAATTAATTATAGATGCAGGAAGACAACTGTATAGTAACAGGAGAGGGAGCAAACCTCCTGGAGATAAAACAGTGAGGAATGAGGCCATCTCACTGTGTTGCATAGGCTGGCTTCAAATTCCTGGGCTCAAGCAATTCTCCTGCTTCATCCTCCCAATTTCCTAGGCCTACAAATTCATGCCTCTGGTTTTGAGTGTTCCTAGCACCATACATTCTTTTCGGTTTGTTTTATTGTGACAGTGTTTCACTCTGTAGCCTTCACTATCCTGGACTCACTTTGTGGACCAGGCTGGCCTCAAACTCTCAGAGAGCTACCTGCCTCTGCCTCCCCGAGTGCCATACATTCCTAAAATAAGCATTCTTAACCAGGCGTGGTAGCACTTGCCTTTAATCCCAGCTTTTGGGAGGCTGAGGCAGGCGGATCTCTTTGAGTTCAAGGCCAGCCTGGTCTACAAAGGAGTCCAAGACAGCCAAGGCTACTCAGAGAAACTGTCTCCAAAGGTAAGAGAGAGAGAGAGAGAGAGAGAGAGAGAGAGAAAGGGAGGGAGGGGGTTAGGGGAGCACATAGAGATGACTCAGAGGTTAAGAGCACTGGCTGTTCTTCCAGAGGTCCTGAGTTCAGTTCCCAATGACCACATGGTGTCTAATAACCATCTAGAATGACATCTGGTGCCCTCTTCTGGCATGCAGGCCTACATGTAGGCAGAACATTGTATACATAATAAATCAATCAATCTTTAAAAAAAAAAGTTTATTTTAAAATACGTCAGAAACCTATTCCTTAAAGATTTCTCAGCACACATCTATTTGATGATTTTCAATCTTGCAATTGAGTAAAAAAAAAAAATCCATTTCTGGAGCTGGAGATGGCTCAGAGGTTAAGAGCACTGTCTGCTCTTCTAGAGGTCATGAGTTCAATTCCCAGCAACCATGTGGTGGCTCACAACCATTTATAATGAGATCTGGTGCCCTCTTCTGGTGTGCAGGTGCACATGCAGACAGAACATTGTATACATAATAAATAAATGAATAAATAAATCTAAAAAAAATCCATTTATATTCTAGTTTCTTTATTCCATAGAACAGTATTATTTGTTAATAAGGCTGAAACTCTGAGAGTGAGACAATGCAGTCACACCAAGAGATGTAACTGGCTAGATATGGCTTAACATTATTTGGGTATTTGTTGTTTTAAAGGACCCTCACCCTAATTGTGATTTTTGCTCTGTTCTTCACACTGAATTTTATTATCTTTATCTCCAGCTACTTTTGAAATATAAGTATCAATAAAAATGTTAACAAAGGGATTCAGAAGGCACTAGGACAAGTCTGCTGAAAAATGACTGCAGGACCCTGTTTGCCCCTCAATACTAAAAAGATGTTTACAATGGTCAAAGCATGTTCATTACATAGGTCAGCTAGGCATGGTGGCTCAACATGTAATCCCAACACTGGAGAAGCCAAGGCAGCAGCTTGGCCTATATAAGGAGTCAGGACACCCTGAGCTGAGATGACAGTGAGACCTTACCTTTAAAAAGAAGGGAGAGGAGTTCCCAGTGTGATTTTATGAATCACTCACATACGTACCTTGAAAGGTTTGTCTCCGCTGTGTGTCAGCATGTGCCGCTGCAACCAACTCTGACTGGTTGACGGGGTGTTATACACCTTACAACCTTTCCACAAGCAAACGAACACCTGTTAAAAGAGCATTGTCATCGCTTATTTCAATAAAGACTTTGGTCCCTCATAATTTCAAATATGATGAAAATCTTCAACTGACAAAGGCACTGACTGTACACGCAATCAAAATGCATTTAACTCTAGTGTCCCAACAGGCTGCAGTCTTGCCCCAGTCTCAACACTGGGTCCTTTCCCCTCAAGGAAGGAACTAACATACCCCAAGATGAAGAAACACAGAAGATGACAATCTCCAGGCTCGAAGACAAGCTTTCTAACTTGCATTTGTCTCTTTTTTTTTTTTTTTTTTAAAGATTTGTTTATGTATTATGTATACAGTGTTCTGTCTGCATGTGTGCCTGCAGGTCAGAAGAAGACATCAGATCTCATTATAGATGACTATGAGCCACCATGTGGTTGCAGGGAGTTGAACTCTGGACCTTTGGAAGAGCAGACGGTGCTCTTAACCTCTGAGCCATCTCTCCAGCCCAAAGACAAGCTTTCTTATATTTGTATAAGGAACAAACATTTGCTACTTCTCAATACCCAGGAAAATATGAAATGGTCATTAACTAGTAGATAAGCTTTTACTTCAAAGAATCAGTCAAAAGTTATACATTTTACATAAATTCAGATTTAAAAAGAAATAAAAATTCTGTCACAAAACTTTTCTACTCATTGATTCCTATTCTCACATGCCTACCAACATTCTATATTCTTGTACTGTTCTTCCCATCTTAAAGTATTTTCAGGTATCTTAATTATGAGGCAAATATAAAAATATAATGGACAAAGACCGATCTACCACTGTGAAGAGCTGCAGTCTCAGCCTTAGGAAACCAAATCTGACTAGGTCTGGAAAGTTCCAACACTAGCAACCTAATCTTCCCCTGAATATGCCAAATCCTCGAAACTGTTCCACACACTGAAGTCTTTTCCCAAAAGAACTGACACATAGTGAAATCTTCCTGGGCAGAGGGTGGGGGATGAGGGTCAAGACTCTTCTTGATAACAATTATATGCAGAATCACTTCAGTACTAGATATAAATATCCAGAAGACTGAAGAAAAGTACATTAAGGGCTAAGAATGTAGCTCTGTGGTAGAGTGCTTGCCTGCCAAGCACTGAGCCCTGAGGCTCAATACTAGGAAGCATAACACAAAATAAACACAAACAAAAACAAAATCAGAAGCAGCCAGTCGGTGTGGCTGCTCTTGCAGGTACCTATGTTGAATTCCCAGCACCCACATGGTGGCTCACAATAATCTAACTCCATTCTCTTCTAGGCTCCTTGGGAACCAAGGCAAACACTTTAAAATCCAGTGTGCAGCAAATGTCTCAGTCTATTAATTAATGACTTAAGTCATGTGGCCTCCATGATCCACATTGGCTTTTTGGTTTTCTTAGATGAAGCTGTGCATCCTCAATCAGTCCCAATCCTAATGAAAGCTGGACCTGATTATACAGACCTGACCCCAGTTCCTTAGCAGGTACAGTAGGGACTGCAAGTCTGTGACTGCTATGTGAGTGCTTGCCAAGCATACATAAAACCTGGAAACTAAGTGCAATGACCCATGTCTGGTATTTCAGCGACTGGGAGGTAAAGGCAAGAGGATCTTGCAGTGGAGGCACAGGCCTTTTAACCAACAGCACTCAGGAGGCAGAGGTGGGAGGATCTTTAAGAATGAGGCCAGCCTGGTCTTCAAAGCAACTTCCAGGACAGTCAGAGTTACACAGAGAAATCCTGACTCGGACAAAAACATCTTTAGCTACATAGCAAATCTGAGGCCAACTTTGATTGCATGAGACCTCATCTCAAAAAACAGAACTTATTCTAACAAGAAAACATCATCGTTGCCCTTCTAATTGACTGCTCCCAAAACATTGCATTCCAAAACATTTCTTCCTGGAACTCACCGATCTGCCTGCCTGTACCTCTCTGAGTGCTGAGATTACCGGTGTGTGTCCAGGTCTGTCTTAAATTTTCAACCCAAGTAACATAAGTAACAGAAAAACTCAACAGAGCTGAGCAGTGGTGGCACATGCCTTTATTCTCAGTACTCAGGCGGCAAGAGACAGGCAGATCTGAATTCCAAGACAGCCAGGACTACACAGAAAAACCCTGTAACAAAAAGCTAGGAAAGGGGGGAAAAAAGGAAAAAAAAGAAAAGGAAAGGAAAGAAAAATATCAACACAGTGTTTAAGATCAAGATTCAAGACTAGTGTTATAACAATGAAGAATTTTTATGTCAATTTTGTTTGGATGGCTGGGTCCCCTCATTGTGGTCCAGGCTGACTCAACCTCTCGTGTCAAGATTTTGCTAATAATCTAAGATTGAGGTGACTTTTTCTCCCAGTGCTGGGATTAAAGGTGTGTTCCACCACTGACCAGCAAAGTGGGACTACTCTTAGGGCTTTTAGAAGGACCTGGTCTCAAAAAAGCAAATAGAGAGGGAAGGAGAAGAAAAGGAAAGGAAGAGGAAGGACAAAAGAAAAGGAAAAGAAGAACCCAAGACTTTAGATGTACAGTTGTAACTATTTCACCAATGGCTGTGGTTTGCTTTATTTTGTTTTTATTTTATTTTTGTTTTTTAGAGACAGGGTTTCTTTTCTGTGTAGCCTTGGCTGTCCTGGACTCTCGTTGTAGACCAGGTTGAGAGGCCTGACTTTGCCTCTCAGGTGCTGGGATTACATGTGTGCACCACTGTGCCCAGCTATTTTTTTTTAATACTCTTTTCAAAGGCGTTTCTAGGCTTAGCCTGCATGTTATGCCTCTACGCCACACGCATATATTATCTTTGGAGAGCAGAAGAAAGCACTAGATTCCCTTCAAACTAGTGTTACAGACAAAGGTTAGCCACCAAGTAACTGCAAAGGCCAGACTGAGTCCTCTCAAGAGCAGCCTGCACCGCCTCTCTAGCCCCTGCTGTATGGTTCTGAGACAGGGTCTTAATGTAGCCTCAGAACCTAACTAGGTAAGACACCTTCCTGCCTTAGCCTCCCAAGCAAGGATCACAGGCAAATGCCTTGAAAAATATTTTTATACTTGATTTTTAGAAATACTTTCTGTATAAAATATTTTTCTTTTTTCTCTGTTTTGTTTTTCTGAGACTATGTAGCCTTGCTAGAACTTGCTATGTAGACCAGGCTGACCTCAACCTCACAAAATCCAACTGCTAATGCCTCCCCAGTGCTGGGATTAAAGCCTTGCCTCACCACAAGCCTGGCACCATTGCTCAGGCTGGCTGAGTCCCATCAGGGTAACTGAAGCTTCTGACAAGAGCTGCACGAATGACGCTGATTCCCAGATGCTTTCCTCGCCAGTGCCAGAACCTTGGGATTCACCACGTCCATTTATATATTTCTACCACAACATATCTAGGAGCAAACTGAAACCCAAAAAATTATATCCAGTTCCTTGTAATCCTAGTAAGTAGACAGGCCTATAACAGAAAATGAGAGGCAAATTCCCCAATTCCTTTCATGAAAGAAAAAAAAAAAAATCCTATTAGCAATTATAAATGAACACAATAAAAACAGAATGAAAAAGAATAGCAAAACCAACCCCTCCACGCTGACCATCTACGTGTATGGAACGGATGTGGTCTGCCAGGTCTGGGCTAGAGTTGAAGCACGCCTGGCACTGGTCCCAACAACAATTATAGGCAATGTGTTTGCTTGAAGAAGTAGTGCTCCCTTGTCCATTCATCATTGCTGGAGTTGAACGCCCACTGGAAATTGTGCTGTCTACGTCCATTAGAGTACTGCTTATGCTACAAGAGAAGAAAAAGGCTGTTACTCCTACAAATTCACCAACATGAATATGATCTTACAAATAGTGAATCACATGCAACATTCTGCTCTGTACAAACAATGCATACTGACCAAAATTCTCTATTCAACTGCAATGCTTTGAAAATCGTTGGCAATAAAGTGCAAGGTAAAAACACAACAGTACAACAGTGCCTCAAAATCAAATACAACTCCAGGCAGCATGGAGCTGAGGCGGGACTGCAAAGAATTTGAAGACAGCTTGGGAGAGGGAAAATTAAAGGTGGGAACATGGGCTGAAGAGACAGGGAGAGAGAAAGAGACAGGCAGACAGAAACATTTTGGAGGGGTGTGTGTGGAGGGCTCTGAAGTTACCAAAATCTAAATAAGTCTTCTCTAGCCCCTGAGCAAACCAAGAAACTAGAGTTTTAAAGATTTATTTATTTACTATTTATACAGCATTCCACCTACATGTGCTCCAAAAGAAGACACCAGATCCCACTGTAGTTGTGATCCACCATGTGGTTGCTGGAATTGAACTCAGGACCTTTGGAAGAAAGTCCAGTGTTCTTAACCTGTGAGACAACTCTCTAGCCCCCGAAACTAGAATTTTAAAAATTGCATTTATGCCAGGTGGTAGTGACACATGCTTTTAGTCCTAGGAATCAGGAGGCAGAGGCAGGCAGATATCCGAGAGTTCAAGGCTAGTCTGGTCTACAGAGTGATTTGATTGTAGGACAGCCAGGGTACACACTGAGAAACTCTCTCTCAAAAGCCCAAAATAAATAAATTAGAAATTTGCATTTCTTGAAACCTCTGAAAGTAACCATTCCCTGAACCTCCCACATTCTAAATCCTGAAGTCCTTAAGACCTGAGAAACAGAAAAGCTCACACAAGGTCACCCCTAATCAGGAGGCAGGCCCCTCCCAACACCATCATACCTGGCTGGCTCTTCACATTTTTAATATGAAAAAGCTCAAATTGGGTTATAAGGAAGTTATATGGTTGCCTCCATAGCATGTCCAAGGTCCAGTTTCTAGCACCAAAGTTAATTAATTTGAGTTTCAGACCACAGTACACTGCCTATCAAGTGTGAAGACCTTGATTCAATCTCCAGGACCAGAAAGGAAAACGAGAAATGAAAGAGAAAGGAAACTGCAAGATGGCTCAGCAGGTAAAGGCACTTGCCACCAAGTCTAATGACCCAAGTTCAATCCCCAGGACCCACATGGTCGAAGGGGAGAACCAACAGTCTAGCAAGTTGTCCCTCTCACCTTCACAGATGTGCCCACATACACATGCATGCCAGCCCAGGCACACGAATTGCTCTACAAATGGCTTGCCCATGCATAGCCCTGTGTTCAATGTGTAGTACAATATAGACCAGGCATGGCAGTAGGCCAATAATCACGGCACTTGGTAGGTGGGGAGAGAAGGCCATGAAATGCAACACCATCCTCAGCTACATAGTGAACTAAAACAAACAATCTGGAACTAGCCATGGTACTTCACACCTGCAATGTCAGCACTTAAGAGCCAGGAGAAGAGGATCATGAGTTCATGACCAAACTGGGTTACAGTCTGAAACCTGTCTCAGAAAGCCAACTCCTGCAAAGCTCTTCTGACTCCTATACCCATGCCTTGTCATACATGCCTCCACACATGCACATTTTAGCAAATTAAAATATAAAATAAACAGAAATTCTAAGACATGGCCCAAGTCAATTCTAATCAAATACCATTTTAATATTTATGTGTTACGGTTCACAATTTCACTTGAGAAGAAAAACTGAACCACTGCTGGAAATTCAAAACTTGTTTTAGTTTTGAATGACAGGTAGTTGTATATATTTATGGGACAAAGTGATGTTTCAATAACTGTACAATGGAGCCAACTAGGCTAATGAACATCCCCATAACCCTCTCTCAGCTATCTGATTATCAGCAATAATCTCTGGAACATAGAATTTATTCAAATTGCAGCACTATGCCCTGTAAATTGTTTTTAAATTCTATTTTCTCAACAACAGACATCAAAAGGTCCACCATTGTGATAACAGCACTTCTATTAAAGGGCTGGAAACAATGAGCATGACAGGAAAGGATTAAGGTGCATGAGTTTAGGGAACATGAACCTACCATGAATGCATTCTCCAAACCCTTCCTTCAAGAAATGAAGATTTTGCTGGGCGTGATGGTGCACGCCTTTAATCCTAGCAGGAAGGCAGAGGCAGACAGATTTCTGTGAGTTCCAGGCCTGATCTACAAAAAGTGAGTCCAGGGCAGTCAGGGTTACACAACACAGAGAAACCCTGTATGGAAAAACCAAGTGGGTGGAGGGTGTGTGTGTGTGAAGATCTGACTTGAAGTTTCCAGGAAGATTAAGATCATCCCTAACCTCCTTCACTGAAGAACAGTCTTCAGGAGCCTTCAATTCACCTAATTACTACAAACTAGGGAGTTAAGGATGAAACCTGGCAACTAATGCATGTGTGGTACATCTATATGCTATAAAACAAGTATTCTAAGCTGGGCATGGTGGCACAGGCCTATAATCCCAGCACTCAGGGAGGCGGAGGCAGGTGGATCTCTGTGAGTTCGAGGCCAGCCTGGTCTACAGAGCAAGTTCCAGGACAGCCAGAAAAACCCTGTCTTGAAAATAAATGAATAAATGAATGAACAGGTATTCTAAAGTTCCCATTTTTCAGAACGAACATGGGCCACCTTGATATGACATGTCTGTAACCCTCAGGCAGCCAGAGGAAGAAAAAAAAAAAAATCACCAGCAATTCTGACCTAGGGTTAAATGGTCCATCTCAGAATGCCAGGTGCAAAGCTCACACCTGGAACCCCTCCTTGAGCTAGAGAGGGAGACTTCAAAAAAGTTCAAGGATAGTCTCCTAGTTAGCTTCTGTTGTCCACCGGACACAACCTCGAGTTACCTGAGGAAGTCTCAACTGGGGAACAAGCAGCTTAAGCAAGTCAATTCCCGGCTAGTCTGAGCAAACAGTGAGGCGCTGACTCAACAATGGAGGGGGGGAATGAACAGAATGAAACATAAACATATGACCCTACATATAAAGTTATTTTAATTGAAATTTCATTTCAATTAAGCATAAAATAGAGGCAAAAAAGTACGGGTCTAAGAGCATTAAAAAGGGTCAGAGTGAACAATATGACTAACTGTAAGCTTTCTAGTTGTGCTGTGTTGCTGTTTTGACTGGGGTCTTGCTGTGCAGCCCAGCTTACAAAAGGAATTTTGCCAAATCTTCAACTTTGTGAGCAATAACCAACCTATTTAGTAAATTGTTGATAACCATAAGACCATACAAATGATCCTGAATTATTCTCTTAACCAGGAAAAAAAAAAAACATCACTTTCTTAACAGGTGCTTCTCTTTTCCCCTATAATACTGCCACTGACCAGGACCGCTTTATTCAGGCATGGTGGTACACACCTTTACCGTGTGTCTGAATAGAGGCAGACATAACTGAGTTTCAGGCCAGTGAGACCCCATCTCAAAATCAAATTAAAAACTCAGAAATGAGGGCTTGAGCGATAGCTTAAGGTAAGTGAAATACATGGCTGTCACAATGAGCTGATCATAAAAAAATCAGAGGCACATTAAAAATCATTAACCAAAACCAAAATCTTACTATTATTACTCTAATTACATCTAGTTATCACAGTAAAGCAAATAGCCAAAATGGGTTTTTCTAATCAAGAATATAAATAGTAATAATAATAATAAAACTGTCTATCTCCACAATGACTCCTCTAGAGAAAGACAAAGGATTTTCCCCCCAAGACCCAGCCGCCTTCACTAAATTGGTCAAAAGGGACTTTATGCAACAATGATGAAAGGCAGTCCCTGGGAGCAAGCAGGCTGCTTTCTTCTCTGGCCACCCTCACTGCACACTGCACACTGCGCCTTGTCCCTCAAGTAGACAGCCCTTCAGCACCACGACAGCCACAGCTCTCTGGCTGAAGACAGCAAAGTGTTCAGACGAACTGTGGAAACACATTACTTTAATACAATTAATTCCACAATAAAGTGTAACCTTTTACTTTGTAAAAACAGTTCTGGCGGCTAGAGATACCACGGTTAAGAGCACTGTCAGCTCCTGCAAAGGACCCAAGTTCTTGTTCTCAGCACTCACATTGGGTGGCTGGCTAACAAGGCTTGTAACTCAGCTCCAAGAGATCTGATTTTTCTAGCCATTCACAGACCCAATGTAGATACAGACATACAAACCAAATTTTTTTAAAAAATATTTTTGTAAACTCCAGAAAAATGTAATCCGAAAATGACATTTAAAAAAACAAAAACAAACAAACAAAAAAAACCAAAACAAACCTCTGCCAGGCACTTACTGCAAAAGCCTTGGCACCTGAGTTCAACACCTCCCAAATCCCACATAAAAGTTAAAGGAGAGAACTGACTCCCAAAAGCAGTCCTCTGATCTTTACACACAAATAAATAAATGTATAAAAAGCCTTTTAAAATTTCTCTTTAAAAACTGCCACTGGAGCCACTCGGTGGTGGAGCAGGCCTTTAATCGAAGCACTCAGGATCCAGCCAGAGGCAGGCGGCTGAGTTCAGACCTGGTCTACGCAGTGAGTTCCAGGACAGCTAAAGCTACAAAGAAAAACCTGTCCCTGGGTGTGACTGATCATGCCTGTAACTCCAGCACCCAGGTAGCTGGCACAAGATCTTGGTGAGTGTCTGAGGCCAGACTGGTCTACAAAGTGAGTTCCAGGTTAGCCTGGTCTAGCAGACCTTACCTTAAAAACAGTGGGAGGGGACTGAAGAAAAAGCTCAGCAGTAAAGAGGATCCAGGCTGATGTTCAGTGCCCACCCACATGGTGTCTTACATTTGTCTATATCTTTAGTTTCAGAGGATCCAGCCATTGAGTTCAATCCCAAATATCAATGTAATGGAAAGAAACACCCAACTTTCAAGTTGGCCTCTGATTCCAACACCAGAATATGTGCACAC